CTACCGAGAGTATTCGATATGCCAGACACAGTAACAACAAAGTCTCCAATGGAGACGTTACTGGGCCCGCTCGAGCAAATCGACGATCAACGGGAGGGCCTTTACCTTTTACCTTACTATTAAATGAAGTCTTTGAATCCTACATAAGTGTTGGAATCAGCAAGGAACAGAGGGATAATAACTTTGATTTTTAAAGAAAAACTTTACCATGGGAACCATTTTTGAGGTGTGGGAAGGGTTACTGGGGGCCGCACACCCATATTCATCTACAAAGGAAAGCCAACTCTACCCTGTCTGAAGGAGCAGGATTAGAAATGATGAGAGCTAGACTCATTGGTGAAAGTAAAGTAAAGTAAAGGCCCTCCCGTTGATCATCGATTTGCTTGAGCGGGCCCAGTAACGTCTTCATTGGAGACTTTGTTGTTACTGTGTTTGGCATATTGAATACGTCACGGGGAGCTTACCAGGCTTTGCCGTGCAGGCAAGATACTCTCGGTAGCTTGCCGGGCTCTCCGAGAGGGGCAGAGGAATTGAACTCGGGTCGGCCATGTTGGCTGCGTGCAAGGCAAACGCCCTACTGCTGTGCTATCGCTCCAGCCCACTCATTGGTGAGTGGCCATTTAATACCAGCTATGATTGCAGAAGGGCACAGCAACAGCAAAACTGCAGCAAAGAAAACAGGGAGTAAGAGGAACAAATGTTTTGACTTCTCTCACCCTCTGCTCTCAAAACTGCCCAAGAATCATCCTTGTCAGATTCGTCTGGAAACCAGGACAAGGTTCTGGAGTGATACCATCAATGTGATAGGTCAACTTCCTTTTTCTCTGGGCAGGATAGGAAGGGGCAGGAGTAGATCTAAAGAGGACAATACAGAATATCCTGAGTCCCAAAGAAGAGAGATTACAGGAATTGCTGAAATGATATATTCTGTGGTGTTCTATTTTGTTACTTTAATTAAAATGCCTAAATTTTCAGAGAGTTCTCAGCAGTTGATAGAACAGGGAAAGAGAAATTTGAATTATAGAGGTCTTGAAGTTCCTGTTATGAGAAAGAAAACAATTGGCATAGGTTTAAAAAATCCAATTCTCAATTTAAAACAAATGTATAACAATACTTTTAAAACAATTGTAGTAGAAAAATGAATGGAAAGAAGCTACAGAAATATTCAAAATACACCTTGTCTCCATATATGTGTATTTTGAATATGTGTATGTAGAGCTTCCCTATCAACATCCCACACCAGAGTGGAATAAATACTACTACGGGTGATGCTGTATTGAAACATTATTGACCAGTTTATCTTAGGGATAATGTCCGAATATGAAAAATCCGTAGGTTTGGATATTCTAAGTGTAAAATTATGTATGTTCACAGATCCATATGTGTGGCTTCATTAGCCTAAAAATCTCCCCTACTTACAAACTATTCTTTTACTGTTTCTATTTTTATATCTTTTCAGAATATTTTATATTCAGTATATAGCCTTTTCGAACTGACAAACTCTATGATATGCTAGCAGAAAAGAAGTAATCACACTTCTTGAAGGGGAAAGCAAGGTTCTAGAATAAGAAAACATATGATAACCATGACTACATTTGTCTACTGATACTTGAATCAATTCAAGTGTAATAAAATTAAAATTTTAGTCCCTTGGTCACACTAGTTAAATTTCATTTGTTTCATAGTTACACAAGCATTTAAAATATTCTCATCATTACTGAAGTCTAGGTTAGACAATATTACTTTAGAATATGGGCTGGACGGATAGCACAGCAAGTAGGGCGTTTGCCTTGCACACGGCCAACCGGGGTGACCCGGGTTTGAATCCTCCGCCCCTCTTGGAGAGCCTGGCGAGCTACTGAGAGTATCTTGCCTGCATGGCAAAGCCTGGCAAGCTACCTGTGTTGTATCCAAGATGCCAAACACAGTAACAACAAGTCTCACAATGGAGATATTACTGGGCCTGCTCAAGCAAATCGATGATGAACAATGAACTGGGAGGACAGTGCTACAGTGCTACAGTACTCTAGAATGTGTAACATAGGAGATGTTGTTGCAGTCATCTTCAAAAATATAGGCCTCCTCTAGGACAGATCAAACTCTCTATTTGGGAAGAAAAAGTACAATGTCATTGCTATGATGTTATGGACAGAGGTTAGCAACAGCTGTTGTTATTTAACAAGACAAGACAAGGTTTTGCATTAAAACTCTAATGAAAAAAAAAAGGAGCTATGCACAATTCCAGGAGGTAAAACTAGGATGGGCAACAGTATCACAAAAGAGTGATTTCTAGATTAGCTGTCACCAACTTCCGTAGGCTAGGGGTCTCATTGAACATGCGAAAAAAATTCCTTTTCTCTCCAGAAAGCTATACATATGAACTGCATCATAATTCAGTTTTGAAAGTCTATAGATCCCTCACAATCAATGCATGGGCTCTTCAGAGTCCCACCCTTGATTTTGAGCTCCTAAGCGCAGTTTTATTTAAAAAAATTTTTTTGGACCATACCCAGCTATGTTCAGGTGTTCTTCGGGGACTTTTAAGTACTAAGAAGTGAACACAGGATAGCCAGATGCAAGTCAAGCACCCTGCCCACACTACTATCTCTCCAGCTCCATAGAAGTTATTTCCCCAAGTACTAGATGTAGCAGAGTGTGCTGACCCAGATGACACTTACTTACCATATATTAAAATAAAGAGGTACATTTCTGCCAAATACAAGTAAGAATTGTAATAGGCCATGCAGCATTTAAGTGGAACAGTTAAACAGAAAATCTAAGTGCTTCTAGCACTAGAAGTGTTCAAGTAGCTTCATAATCATGTAGAGAAAATTTTAGTCTGCTAAGTTACACTGAGCAAGCTATATTGGGCATTTACTTTCCCAGGAGTTGAAGGGCCTATTAAAATTGACGGAGGGGTGGCAGAGAGAGTTGAGTCGTAGAGCACTTGTGTAGCACATGTGAGTCTTCTTTTGACTCTGGTCTAGTTCTTTGCCCCCAAACACTATTGAATATAGGCCTGGGGCCTGATAACTGCTTCTCAGAAACAGATTGTGTTCTGCTAAGGGTGGGGTGTGGTCCTAGACCCCCAAAACCTGCCAACGGTGGCCTGTATAAGACGAAGTAACACAGTGTCCAAGCACAAAATGAGCTTGGAGTGACAGGATTGGGATCTAAAAAGGTTTCATATAACTGGGGGCGTTTTAGACGGGCTCAAAAAGTGTATGAGAACACAAGCCTATCTTTAGGGAATCATTTGACGCCTCACTTCACTTTGGAATGTATTTACTCTTTACTCTGAGTGACCTGTTTTCTGGCCAAGTGGAAGATAGTTATACCCTCGATTTAACTTCTTTTTCTGGAAATATCCAAGTGGTGTTCAGAAGGTGCTAAGGACCTATCAGCAGTTTTTCAGCTCACCAGAGTAGTGTTTAAGCAAGGGCCTGATGATACTGTGCTGTTTGGGTCCTGTGGTACTACAAATTACCTGGGCCACTCTGGAGGTAATGAGCTTCCTCCAGGCTGCTGCACCTGGTGATGCTTGGGGACCATGTGGTACCAGGAATTGAACCCAAAACCTAACTACTGTATTATCTCTTGATCCACCTATGTTACTATCTATTCTCTCTCTCTCCATATGCTTCTTCTATTCCACTCCTATCTCTACTATTCAAAGGATCCATAATGAAACATTCACCTAGATTGCCCAGATGGTCCTACATGAAATGATGTGTCTTTATCAGAGAGAGACAGAGGGAGATTTGAGAGAGAAGTAAGATAGCTCATGAGATGGAAACAGAGTCATAGGAGATGATGCAGTGCAGCCTTTGAAAATGGAAAAAGGGACAAGGAACCAAGGAAGACAGTATTAAATACTGGAAGAGGCAAGAGAAACACATTCTCCTGAGAACGTTTAAAGGTACAGACCCTGTCTGCATCTTTTGTTTCCCTCCCCCCATAATTTTTTTCCACTTTGGGGGGTCTTACTCAGCAGTTCTCAGGGCTTACTACTTATGCTCTGTTCAGGGATCACTCATAGTGACTTGGGGCACCATATGGGGTGCCAGGGATCGAACCCCGATCAGCTATGTACAAGGCAAATACCCTACTCTCCTATTGCTCTGGTCCCACCACCATCAACTGTGTGACTGTGGGAAAATTACACAACCTCTTTAAGTCTCAGTTTTCTCAATTGCAACATTGATGTTATCACAGGATTGCTGTTAAGATTTAAGTGATTCTCAGCAGGGTGCATGGTCTGTTGGGAACATTCCAAAAATAATATATACTCATTCTATAAGTTTTTCCCATATATTCCTATTTTAAATGGATAGGTCAAGATTCTTATGGTTTGGAGCACGATTGAAAAAGTGTAGGCCGAAAAAATCAAAAAGGGATCTAATCAGCCTCTAAATCAGGGCCCTAGACTAAGGTAAAGGGAATCAGGTGAGGAATAAACGTGTAGGGACATATGTTATTTCTATATAAAACGCTAATATTTTTGTTCATCACTAAGTTTTTTTGCAACATTAAAAAAAAAGTTGCACAAGGACAGGAGAATTAGTTCAAAGGTTTGGAAAACGTTCTGCACGCGGGAGTTTGGTTTGAATTCCCAGGATGACTTGGTCTCCCTCGCACCGCGGGGAGTGATCCCTGAGCAGAGAGGCCAAAAAAGCAAACAATAGATAAATAAATAAAAGTGCAAGAACATGTTTATCTAGATACCTTGTTTTGTGCCTCATCCACCTGGCTCCAGGCCTACTCTGTCTATAGAGCCAATCACACCATGACCCAAGTTCAGGACCAAAGAGAAAAAGGAAAGGCCTGGAGAAAAAGACGTGGGTTCTCTGAGAATAAATTCGTGCTCTACAAGCCCACTACCGCTGGCCCGGCCCAGGAAACGGAGCCGAGGAGTGGACTACAAGTCCCAGAAGGCCACGCGGCGCGGCGCCCTCGCCGATTGGCCGCGCCGGCCCCGCCCGCCCCGCCCCGGCCGGTGACCCTGGCGGCGAGTCCCGGGCCGGTGCCGCTTAGGAGCGGGCCGGGCGCAGTGGAACCGGCCGGATGGCTGCGCGGCCGGTGTCCCGGATGCTCGGGCGGGCGCTGCGCCCCAGCACGCGAGGCTGCAGCTCGGGGGCGCCGGTGACGCAGCCCCGGCGCGGGGAGCCTGCCCGGGCTGGCCCCGAGGTGAGCGGCGCCCGCGGGGAGGCGCGGGGCCAGCGCGGGGCCGGGCGTCCTGGGCCGGGGGGCAGCGCGGGGACGGTGCGGGCGGGCGCGCGATGGGCGGGGCGGCCCGGAGCGGGGGTCAGAGCGGTGGGCAGGGGGCAGCGCGAGGGGCAGGCAGGGAGGCGGGCGGCGCGGGGGGCAGCGCGGCGGGCCGGGCGTCCCGGGGCAGGGGGCAGCGAGGTGGGCAGCGTGGCGGGCAGGGCGTCCCGGGGCAGGGGTCAGAGCGGTGGCAGGGGGCAGCGCGAGGGGCAGGCAGGGAGGCGGGCGGCGCGGGGGGCAGCGCGGCGGGCCGGGCGTCCCGGGGCAGGGGGCAGCGAGGTGGGCAGCGTGGCGGGCAGGGCGTCCCGGGGCAGGGGTCAGAGCGGTGGCAGGGGGCAGCGCGAGGGGCAGGCAGGGAGGCGGGCGGCGCGGGGGGCAGCGCGGCGGGCCGGGCGTCCCGGGGCAGGGGGCAGCGAGGTGGGCAGCGTGGCGGGCAGGGCGTCCCGGGGCAGGGGTCAGAGCGGTGGCAGGGGGCAGCGCGAGGGGCAGGCAGGGAGGCGGGCGGCGCGGGGGGCAGCGCGGCGGGCCGGGCGTCCCGGGGCAGGGGGCAGCGAGGTGGGCAGCGTGGCGGGCAGGGCGTCCCGGGGCAGGGGTCAGAGCGGTGGCAGGGGGCAGCGCGAGGGGCAGGCAGGGAGGCGGGCGGCGCGGGGGGCAGCGCGGCGGGCCGGGCGTCCCGGGGCAGGGGGCAGCGAGGTGGGCAGCGTGGCGGGCAGGGCGTCCCGGGGCAGGGGGTGGCGCGGGGAGCAGCGTGGTGGGCAGGGCGTTCGGGGCGCCCCCCACTTCGAGATTCACCCCCACCTCCTCTGGGCAGCCGGCGCGGCCGAGGACAGAGCGGAGTGTCCACTCCCGCCCCGCCGCACCTTCTTCCTTCTCGCCCCGCGGAGACATTGTCTGGCTGTGAGCAGGTGCTTGTGTGATGCCCAGCCGTGGGGGGTGACAGGGGCTAAAAATGTCATCTTGGTGCCACCAAGAGTTGTCACTTCTGCAGTTGCAGGGCCTGGTCCCAGCGGCCGTCCTGGACTGAGTCTAGCCTGCCCTGGGCATGCCTCTGCCTCTTCAGAGTTGACAGCACCCACCCCGCCAGACTAATCTTTGACATAACAAGTTCAGGTTTGTGATTCCTTGGGCCCTAGGCCCAGAGAACATCTGGGGAGAAGCATCTCCTACGGAGTAAAGGCTTTCTGAAACTGGTTTTTTCCACCTCCCCGGATCAGGCTTCAGGTCTGGACCCTGACCCCACCCACTCTCCGATATTGCTTAATCAGGGGGCGGGAGAAGATTTTAGCCCAACCAGCTCCCTCTGCACCTGACCCCTCTGCAGCCCTCTGATAAGCTGCTCTTACAACCAGGAGGTGAAGTTTTCCGTTTCCTTGGACTCTGAGCTACACTGAGGGGAATGGTAAAGCCAAGATTAAAGAGATCAAAAGGTTCAGAAAAGGAAATGATCCTGCCTTCGGCCCCCTCCCCCACCCCTTTACTTCCGGAGAGGACCTGGTCAAAGAATTTCACTCTCCCTTTCATTTAGCCCACCCAGAGAACAGGGGAAGGTAGGTGTTTCCAGACACACAGCTCTGTGATGTGGGGAACAAGAGCTCTAGGGTCTGTGCTCAAGCTTCTTTGAGCTGACCTTTTTTTCCCTAGGTGAAAAGGGAGATTCGGTGCAGAAAGCCCAGAGTTGCATCCCAGTGCTCCCTCTCATAGTGTGTGTGATCTTCCTCCCCCACCCCCACCCCCCAGGCTCTGCTTCTGACTACTCAGTTTTTGCATTGCAAAATGCAAATACTAGTGTCCACTTCATTAGGATGTCTTTAGGGATTAAAAAATATTGTCTTCTAATGCATAAACTTACACTAAAGACTGGCCTGTGAAGGTGACTGCTGTATATTTTTATTATATTTATCATCCTTTCTATCATCAGCTTAGGATGTATTTCTGGTCTCCCTACTTAGAGCATAGGTTGGGCTTTCCATCCTGGAAATTTTTCACCAGGGGAATGGTCATTTCTAAAGTGCTGTGTAGTCCTCTGCCTTTGTGGAAAAGTCAACACATAAAAAACCCGCAACGCCACTCTCCCTTCCCACAGTGTGGTTATACCGGCCTCTGTGCTGAAAGCCCCAAGTTTTTGATTAAATAACTGATTTTTAAATTTGCTTAAAGCATTCAGTCTGTCCATGGAGTGAGAGGAACACGTGGTGGGAGCCCTGTCTTACTCCTTTTCCTGGAAAGATCTTTGCCCCCCCACCCCTCCTAGTGGTCTGGTTTGGCGTGAAGTGTTACAGGAGACCAAGGGGAAGCTATGGGTATTTGTAAGGGGTAGGTGGGAAAGGGGACGTGAACAAGAGTGCTGACTGAGAGCACAGAGAAAGGAGGATCCATCTAAGTACAGGTTGAGTAGCTTCTACAGAGAAAGGGGAGATGGGGTTCCAGGAGAATGGGGAGCAGGGTATGGACCTGGGTTACCTGCCAGCCTTATTAGGGTGGCCTGGATAGTCTCCTATGTGGGGCATACTCCAGTTGGCAGCACGGCACCTTTTCCTCCTCTCAAGCTACATGCAGGGCACCAGGGAAGTAGCCTGAGGGTTGGCTCCACACCTTGGGGCAAGGATAAGGTGACTAGAGACAAAGGCCCCCTGCTGTTAGGGGGGCAGAGAGCCCACTTTTGGGGTGATACCGTCCAGCAGTATCCAGTGACCTGGGTACACAGGGATGATTCTGGTACAGTCTCTGACTGGTGGTCGACAGACACAGACTATAAGCTGATGGCACCGTAGACAATTTTATTCAAGGTGAACAGTGATTAAAAAGGGGCAAACAGAGTGTAATACATGTGGGGTGAGAGCAGGTGGTGAGACGCAAAAGGTTAGATTAATGGTTACCTGGAGAAGATTGGTATAAGCTGAAACAAAATTCTTGTCTAAATTCCATTGATGTCAGCATTTCATTCCAAGTTCCACTATTACCAGTTAGTTAGTTGTCTAGTTCCATCGGTGTCAACATCCCACATTCCAAACCTGGCCATTCGTGATTGCCAATCATTAATCTATACTAATCTCCAGGAAATGTTACCCCCCACCCCACCCCACCCCACCCCGGCGCCATTCTGTCATCACTGTCCAGGTCCTGGGAGCATTCCCACAGTTCGACTCGTCCAGTTGGTTTCGGAGCTTTGCCAGCAGGAACTCCAGCAGCAGGGAGGTAGCGTTCTAGGAGCTCTGGTGTGCAGGAGGAACATCAAAGGAGATTCTTTGGGAAATGGTTAGCTAGCATCTTTCTGGAGGCTGGTTGGGGGGCCACATCCGGCAGTGCTTAGGGAGCCCCTTCTGGCTAGATGCTTGGGGGTTGTTCCCAGTGATACTCAGAGGGAAGTTACTGTACTAGTTTTAAGAGTTGGAGGAAAGCACGTCCTCCAGTCTTTTGAGCTGTCTCCCTAGCCAGTGGTGGGCTGGCAGGGGAGTGGGAGGAGCATACCTATCTTAACTCTCCATTTGGCCAGCTTCCCAGGATGTTTCCATGAGCTGTGTCTTTGTTGGAGCTGTAGGTGTGGGGAACTTATGGGTCAGTGATGGTGGGAGAGCAGGCCTGGGACCAGGCCCTTATTAAATAAAATGATCTTTTAGGCCCCTCCTGTTTTGCATCATCCCAAACAGCAGTTAAGCCAGGGCCATTGAAAATTGCATGTGGCATGTATTCCTTTTTCTCTCAAATGACCCTGCTTGTCAGCCTCGATTCTAGGATTTTTCAGGGGGCTGCCCTCTGTCAGTCAAATCCAGAGTTGCCTACTCACCCTTTAGAGAGCACTTTGGGGATAGGGCTTCCCTTAATTCGCTCTCTTGTGCCACCCACTCCACCCCTGACCCCCATTTGTACTGGAGAGGGAGACTGAGCTAACTAGTAAGCTGTGGTTGATTGCCTAAGGCCCAGTTCCTAGGAGTCATCATCCTGGAAGATTCTAGACCCTGCTTCTCCTGCAGGGTAGCATGACAGTGATGTGAATTGGAAACCCCAATTATGGGCCGTCTGCAAGCAAGCAGGACTTTGTGAAACTGGGGGAACTGACTACCATGGGAAAATGAGAGTGTGCAGATACACCTAGTAGTCTCTGCAAGTGCTTGCTTGTTTGATGAATGAATATAGGCAGGTTTGAGTGACACTGAGAAAACGGCAGTCACCTTTTTGAAATCCTACCTGGGATAGGCTGAGTGAGGCAGGATTTGTGTCCACACATGCTGTGTTTGGAATGAAGAAACTTTAGATGGTTGGCTTGGCAGCTGCTCAGTAACAAACAGCTTATAATTCAGGTTTACTTGTCCCCAAAGTCTGTGCTCAGAGCCTCACAGCTACCCTGGGATTAAAGTAGCACCTTTCCCATATATCACTGGCCAAACTGAAGAGCCAAAAGCTGGATAGTAAAAACAAAGCCCAGGACCAGAGTACAGGGATGAGGCACATGCCCATTTAACCCCAGCACTGCCGGGAGCAATCCCAGTACAGAGCTGGGGAGAAGCCCTCAAGCACCACAGAGTGTGACTCTAAAATTCCTGAGACTAAGTAAAGCAAAATCAGGTAGGAGTAGTGCACCAGAGCGCCACTGGTGTGACCCAGAAACAGAAAACAAAGCCCAATAAACATAGACCGGACTTCATTCACCCAAGGACTCTGGTGTCAGTGTCTTTGGGCCACTGTTCACCTGGAAACTCTTTGGGTGGCTCTGGGACAGAGTTGGAGACTATCGATGTTGGCTAACCCCTTTAAGCAGAGGTGATCCAGGCTGGGAAAGTGATGACTTCCCCGGAGGGCCTCGACTTTGCACACACAGCCTCCCTAGGGCAGGGACAAGCCTGTTCATTGACACATGGGTTGCAGAGTTGGGCGAAAAGACTTCCCTTATGGGGAATCAGAGCCTTTCTGGTTTATGACCTTCCTGGGCTCTGCCTTGGACTCTGTCATGCCTCAGGCTCCCGGGAGACTCCTTTCACTGCTGCAACATGCTGCGTTCCAGTGGGATTAAGGGAAAGGGATTAAAAACCAGAAGAGTGAAAGTAGGGCATGTAGTGCAAGAAGAGACAAGCGCAGGAAAGAAGCTTGTTAATAGCCAAGGGATACTTTTGCATGTGCCCGGAGGGGAAGATGTGTGGGTGATGAGTGAGTACATGAGTGATGAGAGTCAGCCAGTGAGTGGTTTCCCCAGATCTCACAAGGTAAATCTGATTGTCTGACCCACTTCACCCACCCATACGCGGTGCCCCGTTCCTCCTGTGATTGCTCCACAACACCTGTTCATGCTCGGTCTACGTTGGGCTCCGTTTCTGCTGAGTCATGTTCCTTGAATCAGGTTTGGTTTCCTCACCAAGGCACCTCCCACAATTAGAGGAATGGAGGACTTCTTGGCCAGGGAGAAGGTCTGGTCTGTGGTGACTAGTTACTGAATGACAAATAACTGCTGGTGGAGGGGTCTGGCTGTTACAAATGTGGGTTCCTGGGTTCCCAGGTATGTCATATCTTGGACGCTAAGGCTCTTGGGACTCGACTCTGGAGAATTTCTTCCAGGACCCACCAAGGCAACTGGTAGAAGGACAGTGGCAAGAGTAGGGTGAGGAAAGTACTTTGATGGTTATAGATGATCCCATGAGTGACTCTATTTACTTATCACAAAGAACAGAGCTTCTGGGAGGACACAGGAAGCTGGTTTGATTGGATTGAGTGCCATTGATTGGAGTGAGTTTTACAGACCCAAGAAAATCGTGAAAGCACTGCTGCACACTTTCTTTTTGCTTCTGAGTCACACCGAGGCTTTTTGACCCTAGCTGCACTTTAAAATCACCTGGGAAGATAAGTACACAGCACCAATGGGCCAGGCTATAGGTCCAAGGTCTGGAGCACAAGCACCGCTTTCAGGAGGCCCAGGTTTGATCCCTGCACTCATGGTCTTCCAGTACCGCTGAGAATAGTACCTACCATCCCAGCACAAGCTCTGAGCCCCACAGAGGCATCCCTCTGCCCACTCTGCCACCCCCCCCACAGAACCCCAAAACCAAACACACTAACATCCAGAGAGCCAGATCCAAATGGTCTCTAATGAATTTTGTCTCCAAGCCTCCTCGTTCCAACTCTCTGCCAGGGTGGGTAGGTGTGGGAAATAGAGGTTCTTTGGAAACTTGAATATGCAGAAGTGGCTCCCCTGGAACAAGGAGCTCAACCTGTTCTCAACAATGGCCTCAGGCTGTGCTCTCTAGGAGGAATGAGAATAGACTAGATCAGACTTGGAAAAGTATGAGGTTGGCTCTTTCTTTCTCTCCCCGCATTAAGTCTGCGCTTTTCAGGGAGGCTTCTCACATTTGGGCCTCGGATTGGGTCCATAGCCCTCCCATTGGCAGAGATGAGTGGCTGAACAGCTGAAGTCATCTCTTAATTTGATGGTCCTTTGTTCCCCCTTCCTGGGAGTTGGCCTTGTTCCTTCCGGAAGTTGTCCTGATTGTGCTGCTCTTATCAGAAGGCCTCTTGCATGAGAGGATGCCTTAGACCCAGCTTGCAGCTGCTCTTGGGGGCTTGGGCTGTGGGTAGGCTCCCAGGGAGGCCTTATAACTGAAAATCAAATTAAGTGTTGGCTTGTGTAAGCCTACACCCTCAGTCCCACCCATCCCCATGCTTAGCTAATTACTGAGTTTATTCTGTGTCCCCTTGGAAAAGGAAGAGATGGGAGGCTGGGTTGGGAGTTGACTCTTCATGTCCCAGCAGCCACCAGCAATAGCTGTGGCCACTGTCCCTGTTAGTTACGGACCTCTTCCCTGCTCCTTTTAGGATATGTTGGCCAGTGGGCATAGTTGCCAGGTACAGAGTGGCACCATCTCTCCTGATGACCCTGGCTGGAGATGTTCATTTCTGGGGGAATGCCTCTTGAGAGGATGGGAGGGGCCTGAGGCAGTTCCCTGTCCTTCTCTCTCGCTGGCTTCTCACTTATCTGCTCATCTATACTTGCGGGGGTCTTGCCCCTTGGTCTAATTTCAGGGAACCTTGGGATCAGACTCCACATGTCCTACTTTACACTCCTCTTTCCCAGTCTGTGAGAGGGAGAACACTGGCACCCCAAGTATTCTGGAGCCCACAGACAAAGGTTAGAAGCGCTTCTCTTGTGGAGAGGCCAGGAGCTGAGTACCCATGTCCTCCTGTCTTGCGTTGCAGGAGCTGTCCAGGAGGCAGTTCCTAAGGGAGCATGCAGGCCCCTTCTCCGACTTCCTCACCGACAGCTTTGGGCGGCAGCACAGTTACCTGCGGATCTCCCTCACCGAGAAATGCAACCTGCGATGTGAGTCACCTGCCTGAGCCCTCTGGGCTCCTTGCCCTCGGCTGAGTGAACTGGCTTCTGAAATCTCCCCACACCCAGGAACCCTTCATAGTCTTCCCAGTTCCTCTGTGTAATGTCTCCACCTACCATCTGTGTTTGCCAGGTGGAGTTCAGGGCAAGATACCAAGGTTAAGGTTGAGTTTTATGGTGCTAGAAGTTGGGTTCTACTTGGGATTAGATTTGAGATCAGAGTTGCTATTGCTATGATTAAGGTTGGACCTGAACCAGCCACTTTCTTTAGTGCTCTTTCTCCCTCCGGATTCCTTCGCTTCCCAGTGTACAGGACAGGACTGGGATGGGTGCATGGGGTACTGGATACTATACACATGTGAGCTCCACTGCAGTACCGGTAGCCACTGCTGCCAGCTGGAAGGAACTACACCTATGTGTCTGTCTTGTCCTAGGCCAGGCTAAAGCAGAGTGCCTCTCACTTCTGAAATACATGAGGTGGGACGTCTAGTGCTGGAGGCTCATTCACATTTGCCCTTCCTTCCTTCCTTCCTTCCTTCCTTCCTTCCTTCTTCCCTCCCTCCCTCCCTCCCTCCCTCCCTCCCTCCCTCCACTCCCTACCTTCATACCACCAGCCCCTCACTGAGACAGTTAGTAAGGCCAGAGTGGGAGGGAGTATCAACATTTCATAGGTTCTGGCCTAGAACACCCCCCCCCCTTAAGTGGGGGAGGTTTCTCCTCTCTCATGTTTCTGGGCTTCTAGAAAGACTCTTGGTGGGGCATCTGGGTGCTGGGTGTCTGGGCTACCTGCTGTTCTCGTTTCCTTTACCACTCAATCAGGTCAATACTGCATGCCTGAGGAGGGTGTTCCTCTGACCCCAAAGTCTGAGCTGCTGACCACTGAGGAGATCCTGACCCTGGCTCGGCTCTTTGTGAGAGAAGGTGTAGACAAGATCCGGCTCACGGGTGGAGAGCCACTCATCAGGCCAGACGTGGTGGACATTGTGGGTGAGTTGCACTGGAGTTGCACCTGCCTCCAGCTGGACCATTTGTTGCCCTCTCTGTCGCCATTGTGTCCTTATGGCTTCAGGCTGTCCATCAGCCTCCTCACTGATTCCGTTGTGAGAGGAAATGACACTCGCTTATCCAAGCTCACGCAGCTGCAAGGTGTCCAAGTCCAGCGGTGTGCCATCCCAGGGAGAGCAAAGTTTCCACGAAGGCCTGCAGGCTCATGGACTCTTGCTCTTGCTGAGCTGAGCACCGCACCAGTCTCTCTGCCTCACTTCCTCTTCATACCTACAGGGCCTTGGCACGTGCTATTTCCTTTGCTGAAAGCTCAGGGCTCAAGGCTTGGGACCCTCCACACCCATCTAGCCCCCTTACCCCCCTTCATGAATGCCCCATCCCATAGCCAAGGCCTCTCTTCCCCTCCCTGGTTAGCTCTCTCCTGCCCCTTCTCATTGCTTGACCTTAGCTGGACAAGCTGGCCCAGGGATCTGCCACCCTGTTCCAGATGGTTCCTCAAAGCAGAAAGGCAGGGAGTTCCCAAGAAGGGGCTGAACCTGATGAATCCAGTTGGCAGCTCAGCACAGAACCCCAACTCATTCAGGCACTGCCCCACCTTAAGTCCCTGTGCTCCTTGCCAGTGCCTGTCAGAGAGCGGAGTGGAGGGAAACTGCTGTTCAGAGGCCCCGGGATGACTGAGCAGAGCCATGAAGCGGAAGTGTGCGAGGAAGAGGAGCCAGGAGGCCATCAGCCCTGCTCCCACTCCTTGGCTCTGTGAACTTGGTCACATTTCCCCACTCTGGACCTCGGTTTCCTTGTCTGTCCTCTGGTCACCTCAAATACCTTTTCTGCTCTGGTGGTCTGTGGCTGGTCGTCCTGGCAACTAGTGGGCAGTGCGGGCTTGCTCAGACAAGGCCCGGGATCAGTGACCTAAGGGTTACCTCCTGCTTCCCAGGGTGGAGGAAAAACCACACCTTGAATAATGTGGGGCGTGCTTATAGACCCCTTACCTGTCTTGGGGACAAGCTCCAGCCTTTTTCAGAGGTGCTTATTTCTACAGAGCAAAACCTGACAGGCAGCACAGGGAGCTGTGGTGCAGGGGAGAAACCCTTCAGTGGAGCTGGGATGTTCACAAACTCCTGTCTCTACTTTCTGAGATAAGAATTGGAGGGATACCCCATCAGGGGTTGGGGTAGAGAGTGATCAGGTGGCAGGATTTTTGTGTTTGTTTTATAAATTTAGTTAGTAACAACAGTGTTTAAGTTCATAGTGTTGATGTTCAATGTTACTGCAACCCCCACCATCATAATACCCATAAGCCTCCACTGCTGTCCCTGTGCCACCTCTGTTTGTTGATTGACAGTTATAGTTTTGGTGCATACAGTTACCTCATTTTACCACCATTGACATGCCTTGGACTCTCCGGGGTTACTTCTGGTCTAACTCATTATTCCCTCATCTCTCCTATCTGCTTATCTCAGTGTTCATGATTTATGATAGTTGATATTGCCTTGATTGTTTCTCTCTACCACAGATGAGTAAAATCAGCTGATATTTGTCCTTCTGTTCCTGGATTATTTTGCTCAGTATGATGCCTTCCAATTCCATTCCAAATTACTGTGAACTACATCACACTGTCACACTGTCCTACCATTGTTCATCGATTTTGCTCGAGCGGGCCCAGTAATGTCTGCGAACTACATGATTTTGTTTTTTTCCTTGTGACTGCTTTGTACTTCATTTTGTATATATGCCACACTGGTGGAGGTAGGGAATGGATTCAGAAGAGATTTTATACAAAAGAAGAGTGAAAGAGAAAAAGAGCTGGAAGACCCATAGTATGACAGGGGGTTCTCTTAAGCAGGATTCCAGAGAAAAATTGGTTCCTTTCTCTGTTTTTAGCTTCTTGTTGTTGTTGTTGTTGTTGGGCCACATCTAGCTGTCCTCAGGGATCACTCCTGGTGATGCTTACTGGACCATGTGTGGTTCCAGGATCAAACCCAGGTTGGCTGCATTCCTTCTCTGTCCTTCTTTTTAAACATTGGGGTCAAGGGTGACCCAGGCATCCCCCATTGACTACAGTATATTTCTTCAACCAGTATTCTAATTACCACATGTAAGTGTGATCATCCTGTGTTTGTCTTGGCAAGGCAAGCACCTTACCTATTCATTTGTTGTTGGACACTTAGGTTGATTCCGTGTTTTAGCTATTATACTGAGTGCAGTAATGAATAAGCTGTGAATGTGTCCTTTTGGAAGTGTTTTTGTCTTCGGGATCGATGCCCAAAAGTGGAATTGCCAGGTCATATGGCACTTCAATTCTGAGTTTATCTCTCTGGCCCTACTTAATTTTTTTTCTAACTAGGGGAATGGGTGAGCACCTCATTGGGTACAACATATGCAGTATGGATAAGACAGGGCAGTGAAGAGCAGGACTTTGTTATGATGAGATGGTTATTGGGCTTATTCCATCTTCACATACTGGTCTAATCTCCGCTGCCTCAGTTTGCCTGTTTAAGCACAGCTATATTTTCAAATTAAAAATAATGTTTTTAATCTAATTAAGGAACTACTACTAATGTAGTTTAACTAAGTTAAACTATAAACTATAGTTTAAGTTAACTATAAATTACTTACAAAGTTGTTTATAGTTAAGTTTTAGGCACGTAGTATTTCAACATCAATCCCACCACTGTTGTCAACTTGCCTCCACCAGTGCCCCTATATTCATTCCATCCCCACCCCCAATTCCTTTCCCATCCCTTGCCGGTGAACTTGACAGGTGCATTTCAGAGTTCCAGTGGTTATAATTAGATCTCATGTTTTCAGTTGTTGAGCCTGTGTTTTGGATATATGGCCATATCGCTCACCCATATCGCTGGTACAACTGAAGCCCTGATGCCTGTTCACCCATTACTTCTATTTTCTTTTCCTCCACTCCTAGATTTCTTTCCTTCTCTGTCCTTCTCTCTAAACATTGGGGTCAAGGGTGACCCAGGCATCCCCCGTTGACTACAGTATATTTCTTCAACCAGTATTCTAATTACCACATGTAAGTGTGATCATCCTGTGTTTGTCTTTCTTCTTTGGCTTACACTCAACACGGTATCTTCCAGTTCCAACCAGGTTGCGGCAAATTGCAAGATTTTATCATTCCTTGCAAGCTAGCTGTGGCGAATTCGATATGCCAAAAACAGTAACCATAACGGGTCTCATTCCCCAGACCCTGAAAGAGCCTCCAATATGGCAGCGTTGGGAAAGACAAGTAAGGACAGACTGCTAAAATCTCAGGGTTGGGACGAATGGAGACGTTACTGGTGCCCGCTCGAGTAAGTCAATGAACAACGGGATTACAGTGATATGGTGATTGTTCCTTGCAGCCGCATAGTATTCCATTGTGTTTATATGCCACAATTCCTCTTCATAATCCATTCGTTGTGTTTATATATCACATCTTCATAATCCATTCATCTCATGGAACACCTAGGTTGAGTCCATATCTTAGCTATTGTACTGAGTGCAGCAATGAATATGGTGTGCATGTGTCCTTTTGGGAGTGTCTTTATGTCCTGGAGGTAAATGCCCCAAAGTGAAATTGCTGGGTCATATGGCAGCTCAATTCTAAGTTTACTAAGAACTCTGTACTGTTTCTCACAGGGTTTATACCAGACAACACTCCCACCAGCAGTGCACCAGAGCTGTTTTTAAATCCATTCATCCGTTCTTGGACATATGGGTGATTTGCTTATGCATTGTCCTAAACGCTGCAATGAGCATTGGTATACTTTTATCTTTCAAATTCATGTCTTTCTAATTCTTTTTGTCTGGGGGTTTAAAAGTGGGATTACTGGGTCAGATGGAAACTCCTCATATCTTTTGGAGAAACTTCTATCTTGTTTTCCATCGGAGATGGACCAGATGAAATTCATGAGAGCAGGGTTTGCTGAATGTCTGTTCTTTCTGGGTCCCTGCTGAAGTTGTCAGCTGGGGGCTGCAGAACTGGTGGATCCCCAGAGGGAGGTTGGGGGTCCAGCAGTTCTCCACGTGCCTGCTCTTCAGCCTGTCTTTTCAACCACAGCCAGCTGCTTGATGCTCCAGTACTTCTCCTACCTGCCTGGGGTGAACAAGTTCTCAGCCCTTTCATTATTTCAAGGACCATGAATATGATTTCATCTAAGCTCTTCCTCAGCATATTAGTTAATGCAGTGTTGTCCTAGAGAACTTTACCAGAGAATGTGGAAGATCGGTACTGGTGTTGCTACAACATAGCCTGAAGCATCTGGGGTATGGAGAGTGAGTGAGGGACTGAATTCGTACCTTTATCACATCCTAATTAATTAAAATAGTCTCCTGTGACTACCATGTTGGACAGTGAAAGTTCGAGATTTTTTGAAGCAGAACAGAGAATAGACCACTAAGCACAGAGGCACTTGCTGTTGTTGGACAAGTCTCCAGAGTGTTTGTTCTGGGTCTCACTTCAAGAATGCCTTCCTCTCCTCCTCTCTTTCTTTTTTCCCTACTTAGGGAAAATATGAATGTCACAGCCTAGAGACTGTGAGGAGGCTGATGAAATAAAAGCCAGTGAGAGGCTTTAAAGGGTGAAGTGTTCTCTCAGTTTTTTAATTTTCTTTTAGATGGCTCTAGTTATATAGACTCAGATGAAATCATATTCATGGTTCATAAAATACTGTTGGTTCATGCATGTCCTATTTTATGCATACTAATATTTATGTTTTAATCATTTTATAAATTTCTAAAGAAACTCAATGCCCTACCAGTACATTTTGTGAAGTATAAGAACCCCTGCAAGAATTCAAACTCGCTTTGTGAGCTTCCTTACCTTTGTCAGTCACATACCACTTATCACAAAGATGTTTTCTGAGAAATTCGTCATGAGATGATTTTGTCATTGTGCAAATGTTTCAGAGAGAATTTACACAAACCTAAGTGGTGTAACCTACTATGCACCTAAACTATGTGATACAACCTAGTAACTTTTCATA